TCTTGGGAGCAAACACAGTAAATATACTTCAAAAAGAAGAGCCATACTTCAGAGCCAAATGTTTCACCTGGCCTGTACTTAAGGCTGAAAAACAATGTACTGAGCATATGACGTTGTAGAAATACTGAATGTATTCCGCAAGGGTAAATTATGGCTGTCCATAATGCCTGTTATTGCAGCTGTTACTCAATTCTCTTGTTGTTCGTGATCAGTTCACTGCCATTTAGATAGTATTGGAGTCTCAATGATCRCGTTGGAGTCTCAGCCTGCCTTCCAGGTGCACAGTAAAAGTGACATTTGGTTTTAGAAGTAGATTAAAACATTCCTCAGAAATACGGCGGATACATTGTCTCACATAGGCAGCTTTGTACCACAGCTCTGGATTAGTCCGAGTATCTTGCCCTCTACGTGCTGAGACATTGTAGGGACATCTGGACACTGGATATCTGAATGTTTGCTTCAGCATTGTCATGAGCTTATCCAGTACGGACACCGTTGTAATTTACTATGGAAAGGACGGCAGGAGAAGTCTACCCAGGGTGGGAAGCGCATGGGATAGGGTAATGTAACTTATGAATTCCATTAGATAAATTACATAGGTAAAGTACACAGGCTCGTCGGAAGAAGCACCACTTTGATTACCTGTGACCAAGAAAGGTTCCTTCAAATTGGGGTGGGATAGAAGAGGGGCTTAGTGGAATGAAGGCCCCTGTGTTCTTGTGGAGGCGGCAGGGTGCGTTTCAGCTGCCGGCGTGGCCCTTCCAGACTGCCCCTCCAGGGAAGGGCGGCTCGGGAGGAGGCCATGCCCTGGAATGGTGCTCCGGCCTATGGCAGGCCTCTGCGGAGGCCTCTGTGGAAGCCTCTGTGGAGGCCTGGGGGCCCTGGGGCCCGCCACGAGGCCGCCGCCGCTGCAGGAGCCGCCTTCCTTGGCTCCCTCAGCGCTGCTGCCTCTAACTGCCGCCCTAAACTCACCTGTTCCCCTGTAAAAGGGACCGAACTGGGAAACGGGGCCTCTCGGTAACCGTGACTGCCCGTACGTGTGGCCCAGCACGGACGCTGGCACTGCCGATTCCCGTTAAACCTTAGGGAAACATGGGCGTGTCCGTGGTTTTGGAAACAGCCGGGGTCGCTGCTGACACCTGCGGCGAGTCAGGGTGCCCTTCTGCTCCTGCGTGGCTGGTGTGCAGCCTTTGCGCAGCCGGGGAACTGGCTCCGTGCGGCGCTTTGTGGCTTTGGAGCGTCCTTCATGAGCGGCTGCCCAGGGCCCTTGTTCTTCGTGACCTTCATAATGACACATCTCAGGAGGCTTTGAGTTAAGGTGTGTGCGGTGGCTCTGGAGGGAAGAGCCATTCCGCGCTCCACGGTTTTGTAGGTCCTTATCTTGCATGCATCTGAGGAGCGTTCATGCTGATAACACTGTACTGAGGTTTTAAAACACAAACCTCGTTTCATTAACGCTTATTTTCCAAACTGTCGTCCATTAGAGTATCCTTTTTGAGTTGTTTCACATTATTTCTATTCAATGCCTCTCATTGAAACAAGTTCTGAAATGAAGGGGTTTTGATTTTTTTTTCTTGTTTGTTTAAAATCTCTTGTTTATTTATTGGCCACTTTAAACATAGTTTCCACAGGAAATATGAATTTTCCTAGATTTAGAGGAGATTAACTCCAAACAAAAAAAACATCTGACGTTCAGAAGGCTTGATGTACATGTTTGTCACAAAGCTTTTGTGTCCTGACTCTTAAAAATGCATTTGCTAATAATGCATCTCTAAGCACTTCATTACAAGAAAACTTAGCCCGGTGTCGCAGTTAATGTATTTTTTTTGCACTTTCCTTTTCCTGTGACTTAATCCAAAATTACTCAAGTCAGTTATTGGTGTCTATTTTTAAAAATATATTTTACAGGAAGTACTTTTTTTTAAACTTAGCTTAGTTTACAAGGATATGATCCCATGGTAAGTAAAAGCCATGGGTTTAAAAATAATCCCTCTTTATTTTGGAGAATAGATTTTTTTCCCTTTTTTAGCATTTATTTGAAACAGAGTTCCTAGCAGTACTGAATTCAAAATACATGTCAAATTAAATAATGTTTATTTTCATATCAACTAAGCCATAATACCTTACAGTTTGTTTGCTTTGCCATGGATTTTGCAAATACGGTCCACTTCTGGGGAGATAATACCAGTGTGGTAAAAATCTCTTCAGGTGTCCTTTGATCTTGATTCCCTTAGCCTCCTTATTTTCTCTGTGTATTACTGACTTCTACACTGTTTTACAAAGCATTTATGAGGCCTGATGAAAATACGAGGAGTGCTTTAATTTTCTAGAGACGTGGTGACAGTAACTGTGCTGTTTTTAGGTCRTGCCTGTGATCAGCACAGCTGCAGAAGGTCAGGTAAAACAAGATTCCTCTCCTGCCTTAGGGATAACATTCACTGCTACGTGAAGCTGTGGTTATTAGAAGCCTAAGGATAAATCCTTAGGTGKTATTTTTTCCTGTGAGGTGTTGGACATGTGGGATGCGGGGTGAAGGACAGAGGAGCGTGGATGAGTTCTCCATGAGCTCTCTGTGCTAAGGGGAGTCTTGGCCACCCCAAGGTGGATCCTGGGGGGGGGGTGACTGGTGGCCTGGGACATCTCTGCTTCTCATCCACCCACTGCTGGTGGAGGGATTCATGTCCTGAGAGCCTTGTTCTACCCCTTAGTGCCCTGGCATCTCTCAGCAGCTGGAGGCAATGGGTTCAGACAGCTTTGGGCAAAAAGATAGGAGCTCTTCTGTGCAGCAAAGCAGCACAAAACCATCTCATGAGTTTAAGCACAAAATAAAGCAATAGTGGATGGGACAGGGAGCGCACATGGTCAGTAATAAAGCACTTGATATTAGCAAAGSATCCAGCTGGATGGAGCTGGATGGTGGAGCGGTGCTGGTGAGCAGGACCGATCCCGACCCGGCAGTGGCGTCGCTGTGTGCAGAGCAGCGGCCAGGATGGGCCCCAGCACAGCCTCCCTTGCTGGGAATTCCCGCCAGGTGCTGCCCTTCCCAACGCAGCCCCGCGGGAGCCAGGTGGATGTGCCTCGGCCTGCTCATCCTCCCTTCCCACCTCCGTCCCGCTCATCATCCCTTCACGCCTCCGTCCCAGCCTCCCTCAGGAGGGAGCTCAGGAGTTCAGGAATGAGAGGCAGGTAGATGGTGAGACTGTACRTGGGCAGGAGCTTGCAGCGCTTGCCCTGAGCCTGCAAGAAGCACCTGCTCTGGGTGATTTTCTCCATTTCTTTAAAATTCAGAACTAGGTAAATCTGCTTGGGTCACCTGGGTTTTCCAGGTGGAAGATTGCATTCCGCTTAGATCTCTTGAATTGCTCAGTCAATGCTCGTTTATGTTCRTTACAGACAAAAGCTGCTACGTTGTGCTTAGGTAGTAGTATAGATCCAGGAAGGAAGTAATGGCAAAAMAGCTGTGTTTTTTTAAATTTTTTCCCCTACACAGACTCTCCTAGTGCTGTAACCTTTAGTGCTGCACAAGGTGTTGATKCGGTGCCTCCACGGTGGGAGTGTTAGGGTGTAGTAACATTAGGGACATGTTAGATAGAACAATGGCTGCTCTAGCTAAACATGCAGCCTTTCAGAGCCAAAACTCCAAGCATCAGTAGTAGGACAAAGCTCTGTGGCATGTGTTCTCTGACATAAACCCTGGTTTAGCTGCCAGACAGGCAATGACAGTTCTTGTTAGGTCTCCACAAATGTGTGCTGTGATGTGTCTTCTGATCTGATTCATACATTGCTTCGGTTACGCTTTCATCTTTTTTTATGTCCGACCTAAAAGAAAATGGAGATTAAATCAGTCTGGGAACCTGTGCCCAAACCTCTGTCCTAGTATGAAAATAAACTTTTTATTATTACCATGACAGTTGTACATGTACATGATGGCAGTAGCTGYGTTGTTCCTGTAAAACTGCAGTGTGTACATACTGTGTGATACATAATGTAAAATTTTTAATGAAGCTTTTGTAGATGGGGTCCTGCAGGCAAGGCATTAAGATACCTAACAGCATAGTTTGGCTTCCTTCTTTAATGCTACCAGTGTCCTGTAATCCAACATTTGAGTCCCCACAAAGAAGGGGTGTGTGTCTGAATCATACTTTGCTTGACACACTGCTCTTTTTGAAACCGCGTCTTTAATGACAGCTCTTTCCTCCCTCCTTAAATTTTCTGAGATCATACAGTTCTAGAAATTGATGAAAGCTGGAAACCAGGAGAAGATTCTGCTGGCACATTTCTTAGCCCTTAGACCATAGTTTGTTGGCATGTATTTCTAAAAGGGATGCAGATGCTGTGAAGGGGCAACTCAGCTGTTTTTGTAAAATAAACCCAGTACCTCTGTTACTCTGTGAGGACCCTTCATTGTGAAAACCCTACAGGAGGGCTCTCATGGAAGGTATAACCAAGGGGACCCACTGATTCAGMGTAAGATGATTCTGCTCAGACAACTTTCCCCAGATTCCCCTTAAAACACAGAACCACAAATATTCCATTAAGTGCTAGGTACTGTAATGCAGGATGTTTTTCTCCCAACTTGCCAGTCCAATTAACTTCTCTTAGTCATCAGGTGGAGTACTAAACACAGTCTCATTCAGGAAAAATCCATTCCTTTTGGAATGGAAGTTAGAGCTAAAGAAGTTAAGTCTGTGTGAATATTTCTGGCAGTAATTCAGTTTTTARTCTCTTTGTTGCTAGAATTCCAATACTGGGGCTTACCTGTTTGCTCAGGTGTATAATATTACCAAGGCAGGGCATGCAGGGTGTTGATATTAATTAAATGTCATAATTTTGGTCATTAGTATGCACTATGTTGTTCACATGCTGCAGTAGCTTTTAAAATTGGTATAAATGCTGAAAAACATATTGATACCTATTTTATCTTTCGTTCTGCAGTTCAGATGGAGAAAATGGATCAGAAGAAAAAAAGGCTGGAAAATCACCTACAATACTGCTGCAGACCCCTGCCAGTGAAGTGGAGTATTTTGAAGACCGGAAAAGAGTCGGTGTTGCAAGGTAGTGTCAGCTTTCTGGTAGTGAGATAATCAAAATGATTACAGCTCATTCAGGAAGTTAGGAGAAAAGTTTATGGGACATCATCACCCCGGTTGTGGCAGTAGCTCTGTGTGGGTAACCCAGTTGTGCCAGTTTACAGCGTGCAAACAGGGATCAGAGCCCCCTTCCAGGGGCTGATACTTCATTCACCACGAGCAGTCAGAGTAGTGAAAACAATGCTTTGGTCCCCCACAATACAGAAATATATGGCAGTGGTCAGTGTCATTGCTGGTTATTTCCTTTTCCCAGCTGTGGAAGCCTGGGAGGCAGTCAGACTGAGCTGCAGTTTGACTCCTGGGCTGTTTCAGGTATCCCTGGGTTAGTGACCATACACAGTAAAGCCATGCATCTTGATTCTGGGCTCTCTTAACTGAGGCAGTGATGCTTCTTTGCACTGCATATTGCATCACATGGCTGTAATAATCTGTGCAAAAATAGTCATTCTTCCCATGTTGGAGAGCTGGAGTGCACTTGAAACTCTTCTAAAACAAACTGGAAGAGTATTAAAATTGTACTTCAAGAGCTTTTTTGGAGCAAAACTAAACAGCTTTCATTTTCTCAGCATAGGTCTGTGCTCAAACACTAAGGTCAGTAGTCAACCTGCTATTTTGTTTTCAGGCATAAAGCAGATATTTATGAAACATCACTTACTTCCTGAAATACTCTTYGAAGAAGAATGCAACTACTTCCAGTCCTTCTAGTCTCATATTTCTCATGCAATTAATTGTTCTTGCCGGAGAGGGGTTGCTGTAGCTTCCTTTTTTTTTTTTTCAGTAAGGCTCTCTGTAATAAGAGTTTGACCTAAACTTTACATAGGTACGCACAGACAAAAGTGCACTGTAGGTTACTTCTGTGAAAGGCCACCAAAGAATTGAAACCAGTCTCCCTGCCAGCTAAATCAGTCCTGCTGTGCACTCTCTTTCCTAAATTTAACTCACCTCTACAACACTTGGGTGTTCTCTCCCTGCCCCTCCTTACAGCTTTTACTGGAAGCTTCTGTCTAATTGAAAAATTAGGAAATTAAGCAAGATGTGCAATGGCAAAGAAGTTGCACTGATGGAAACTGAGGGTTTTGTAGCACTTTTTTTTCTCCATCCTACTTGAGCACTTCGCAGCAAGTGTTCTCCAGGTCATTCAGTGAGGCCTGTGTTGTGCCCACCCATCTGCTCTTCCCTAGTCTGCATCAGAAAGCCTCTCAACAGGAGCCAACTTATTTTTATAGCCTGTTGATGCCTTTTTGTCTGTGCTACAAATGAAAGTTCTCAGGGATAATCTTTTCCAGCTGATTTCTAAAGCAGTGTTATCCCTCCTCATGCCGTGCATTTCTGTTGAAAAAAAATAATAATAAAGAAAAGATTTTCATGGCCATCCTCACATTGTGTGTCTGTATGTGTGTGTGTGTGCTTATTTTTTCTGTCTCCATCTGCCCAATGAATGTCCAAAGCTGCACAGATACGACTTCTTGTACAACTGGCACTCGTAATTCCCCTCTGTATTAGCAACTTTGCCCTCAGAGTTGCCAGCTATCTTAATGATTTCATTACCTTACCAGTTCATGGCTTCCTCTSTACTTATTTCTTCTCTGTTGCACTTTTAAAATGAGTTCCCATTTTGTAGTATAAGTTCTTAATTTTCAGTGCATTGCATTTCACACTGTGCTATTTTTATCTTTCTTTCATCAATGTACTAAGTAAACAGTATTTCATATCTTCTCAAAAAAGATAAAGAAAAATTTGAAGCTAGTATCTATTATAATTTATCACGTCTGTTRTGATTTATCATGTTGTAGAAATGCCTTGGACTTGATTCCTCCCCACTTTGAACTAGTAATTGAGAATATTTCCCTTAAAATGCAAAAAAACCTTCCATGAGGGCTGCTGCTGTTTACCATTGAGATGTGTTCCTCTTCAGTGCTTGTGTAATTCCTGATGAATCAGATAAGAATTCATATGCTTCACGCAAATGTGTGGCCTGTTGATAACTACCGAGACTGATGAAATGAGGCCAATCATGTCATGTGAATGCCTTTTTTATTCCTTGTTTTTCCTTTTTCAGGACAAAGAACAGTGCAGACAGTCCACCCGTAACAATGGACATCAAGAGCGACTCAAAGATTGAGAGGAAAAAACGTGTCTCAAACCAGGTAGTACAGATGATACACTTGCTTATACATACATGTAGTAAGAGTAAATAGATGCATGGCAAAAGTGGAGATTTATGGTAATTTGGGCATAATGAGGAGGTATGCAATGGAATGGTCACTTGTTTATAAAAATACCTAATAAGTCTTTGGACATGGGGCTCTCTGTTTTTTAGCTGAAGGCAAATGCACACTTTCATAAGCTGTTCATGGAGGTTCCTGTGGATGAACCACTGAAACAAAGTAAGTATTAATCCTCTCATCACTGCTGACTCTGGAAGAAAGATAATGAGTGACATTTAAGAGGCACCACCTTAACTCTAAAAATCCTAATTCCAGGTGCCTGGAGCAGCAAAGCTTTTACCCATAGCCACTGGGTATTTCTGCTATAATCTTGCAGAATTTTCATTTCTTAAATCTCCAGATTTTGAGTATCTTCAGGAGCAGTTGTATCCTTTGCTGTTCTGAACAGAGCAATCTGGTGCAACCTTTTGCTAGTACCCAAATTTGTTGCTTAATTGTAATAGAACTAGTTAAGTGCCTACATGTTTGTAACTGGTTTTACTGCTTTAAAAATTAAGAGCACTGTTAGATGGATTTACAGTGCCTAAAAAAAATATATTCCTGTTGTATAGTAAATATARTTGTAACAAATTAAGTTATGGCTTTAAAGTAATAACTAAAAGTTAAATAAGATGTTATCTTGGCTTGTAATTACTGTAAAGATTATAAAATGGTTATGTGTTTTAGGTTTTACCTGTGCTCTGCAGAAAGAAATTCTGTACCAAGGAAAGTTATTCCTTTCTGAAAACTGGATTTGCTTCCATTCCAAGGTTTTTGGTAAAGACACTAAGGTTAGTGAAAATATTTTTACAGTAATGCTCCAGAACTGTGGTCATGACCTGACATTCATCTTGTTGTGCAAGTCTGGAATAGTGCTAAAACTTCTGACTTACTGGATACTGTAACCACCATGCACCAATGCCAGAAAGTTCCTTTAGAAGTGGAGCACTACGGTTATTAAAGATCAATTTCATCTGTGAAGGGAATTCCTCTGTGGAAAGAGAGATAGCAGGAGGGGATCTGACATGCAGGAGTGAGGGTGCTGCCCAACCCACATAGCAAAAACTCTCCTGGGAAAAGTATGAAAAGGAGGAGGAGGCAGCAAGGCAGAAAAACAAGGTCAAGACAACTCTGGTTGGAGACCTGGGGGAAAGAATCAAGCATGTTAAAYATCAGAACAACGCCATATGGAAAAGCTAAACCTGGTTTCAGAGCCAAGTGGTTAAGTGGGGGATTCCTCTGGCTGTATGAGCAGAGAAGGGAAAGAGAAAGCAGTCTGCAAGGCATTTGTGCTTCTGAGCTTGATGTGAAGAGCAGAAGTGGGACCTGACTAGTCAGACAGACAGTAACTTGCTCTGGTTTTCTGTGCTCTAAGTGCAGATAGGTGCAGCTACTGAAACTTTCAAGCTAGAAACCCTTTCTTTTAACTATAAAGGACCCACCTAAGGCCTGTCCTCCTCACCCTAGGTGAATGCTGTGGATAGGGATGATAAAAAATCCTGCCCAACAGCCAGTGTTCCCTTCTGGTTGTTTTGGAAGCATGGGGCATTTTCCATCGTTCACATAAGCTGATCTGTCTTTGAGCGTTCATTAAGAAACTTCATTTACGGCAAGGATTCTTTACTTTCTGAAGTACTGCCTTGAAACTTTCTTGAACAATGTTCTGGTTTAGATCTAAGCTCTTGGTTAGTGAATCATTGCTCACCTGTTCTTTCCTTTAAGTAAAGAAACAGTAGCCCTTTTCTCTGCTGTGAACTATTTTGATGGTGTGCCATCTGTCTTTGAAAGAACCTTCTTAAAGAAGGTGAAATACGTTCAGATTTAAAGAATGGTTAATGACACATGTTTGTGCATAGTTACCTTATGCCTTACTGTGTGTGACTGCCTGGCTCAAGAAATTGAGTTATTATTAGTTGCCAGTTAGTGGATGCTATTGGTTACAGGTAGTATACTGATGTAGATGGCATTATGTCAGTGGAAGCCATATGGCATCAATAGGAAATTAACAGATATTGTTAATTCCAACAYATAACAGCTGTCTTGCTAAGTAGTTTCATAAAAAAAATCTGATGAAGCTATTGGCTAAATAATCACTACTTCAGCACGACAAAATGTGAATAAGATTACTCCACATTGAGTTGCAGCTCTCTAAAATTACTTAAGCTACATACATACATACRAATAAAATCTAACAAAACTATATCAAGTAGAATAGAAAGACCTGGGGAAAGATAATGTAGAAGGATTATCATACAGTCCTGCAAAGTGTTGTTTTTTTAACAGAATATCAATAGAGTTCAGGGATATATGTGTACTTACATATGTATATGATGCACGAGAGTAAACGTATTAGAGGACTGGGCARAGCAGGTTTAATAGTTCTAAATATGGCTGTAGTGGTAGTCTGTCTTTCTTCCACATAGCATCCCAATTTTTAAAAATGCATTTTAAAGAGGGAAAGAGGGAAAATTTGAGATCATTTAAAGAATAAACTTAGTTGTTTACTTCCCACTTGGTCTAGCCACACGGAGCAGCCCCAAATATTTTTAGAAATGTTATCAACAAAAAARCCAGACAGTTAAGGATATAATGAAGAATAATGTAGTGGGGGATGGGGATGGGAAAAGGAAATCAAACTTGACAGGAGGAATAACATTCTTGGCAGTAAGGTATGTTGATACAAGTTGCCATGACACAAAAGCTTTATTGCTTGGAACTTGTAAAACCATCTGAACTGATAAAATTGTTCTGTTGCGAGAAGMAGCAGAATTACATGTTCTAATAAATCTCTCACCGTGAATTCTTATACCTAAAGAATTCGTGTTACTAAACGCTGGTGGGGAGGAGGAGGGAGGGCAAAACAGCAGTGTAAGTCTGCAGCTCCAAGTCTGCAGTGAAAAAGTCCTCCTTGCTTGAAAATAAAATGTTTCTGCTGCAGGACTGAGAAGGCTTTGAAAGACAGCACAGCCTCTCCAGGTAGCTCTGTATTGGCCTGGCGTCTCATCTGTCTCCTGGGGCCAAATATCAGCTTTCACATTTTAGTTTCTCTCCATGTTGCTTACGAGTAAACTGTTATTTCCCAGAAGAATTTTTATTACAGAGAAATAAAATGTTTTGCAGTGATTTTCCCAATTCAGTCTAGTTCAGGGGCAAGAGTGCACTACGCAAGTACTTAATCCTTCTTAAAGACTCTTTTGTCTTGATTACAGTAATGTTATCCATCAAAATAACATGCAGCAGAATGAATTAACATCTCTGATTTAAGGTTCTCTAAGGTGAACTGAGCTAGTTAGACAACTTCTGAATTGCATAAGAAAAACAAGTGTTGCAATACTGTGAAACACAACTATATTCAACCCAAGAATAGAAAACACAGTGAAAAACTTGTTTAATGAGCCATTTTCAGAAGATTTAACTTGCTTAGGAAGGACAAATAGAGTTCACATATGAAAAAAAAAAATCAAGTGGTGGTGGCCAGACTTATAAATTCCTAGATCCTGGCTTCCAAAATTATGGGCTTTGTGATTCGAGGATATGTTTGTTTATTTTATGTGCTAGTACCCTTTCTTAACAAAACTAAATACCAATCCTCTACTGTGGAGATGACRAGCAGAGATTTGTTTTGCCATCCATATGTAGTGCCTGACAATCCTGCAGCCAGGCTAATGTACAGAATTGTTTTTTTTATTACCTGAAACAAGAAATAATTTAATGCCTTGGTGTTACTTGGTACTTATTTTTTTCTAAACAAAACTTAACAAAGAAAACTGCTCCAAGAATATATTAATTGTCCTTCTGCACTCAGAATTGTTTTTTACTTGTTTTGTTCTGTTTTCTTTCATTGCCATGATCACCTATTGATCAGTCTTCTGCTACTTCTATCTGGCTTCCGAATTTCTCAGGCCACTGTGGTGGTGCACTGAGGGAATTCTAACTGGAGCCAYAGCCAGAAGTATCCTAGATCGCTGTGCTTGCCCAGCTTGCCATCAGTGAGCTCTGGGCTTTTTAATTAAAAGTCAAAGCAGCAAATCATTTGTATGTGACATGGGATTTGTGAGAAGCGCCATACAAAATATCTGAATTGAGATATTCTGAAACTTAGTAGCTAATTTTCCMTTACTAATGGGGTTGAATGTAAAGAAAAAACAGGAAGAAAATAGGAAGGAAGAGTTTCTTACCTGTGAGGGTGCCAGAGCCCTGGCACAGGCTGCCCAGGGAGGYTGTGGAGTCTCCTTCTCTGGAGATCTTCCAAACCCRCCTGGATGCCGCCCTGTGCCCCGTGCTCTGGGTGTCCCTGCTGGAGCAGGGTGCTGGAGTAGATGATCTCTAGGGGTCCCTTCCAACCTCAGCCATTCTGTGATTGTGTGTGAAGGAAAGCTGTTGAGTACTTTTCAGTGTCAATGTAGAAAGGCTGACACAGAGACCGGTTTAAATAAGTGAGTAGGTGTGTTAGTATTGAATCTTTTGACATACTGCAGGACAAACAGTTTTCTCAACTGCTTGCTGCAAACTAAGGGCTCAAAGTGGTGAGGAAGAACAAGAGTTGTACGTTCAGTGTTCAGCAAGCATCTCCTGTCTGGCAGTGTTTCAAAACCTTTTGTTCCTAAACAAAGAAGCCACTAAGCTTGGTTTGTTCTGCAGGTACACAGTGATCTGAGCCTGTAGGATTGTAAGAGGGAAGGAATCTAACAAGAGGAAGCACAAAAAGTAAAATCTGGAGTTGGGATCTGATAAAAGTAGAAGTAAAAAGAGTTGAAGAGTCAAATTAATCTGAAACCATGCCTGCTTTGTATGGGATGTAGGAGACAGGTCTTTGAAGAAGCGTGTTCAATGTCTGCCTCACCACAGTTGGAAGGCTTTCCTCTTTAGGAAGGAGCATTCGGACGTATGTGCATGTTTTGGGACTCTAACAATATGGTGGTCTTGTTTCAGATTAGTATTCCTGTGCTCTCCGTGACGCTACTGAAGAAAACCAAAACTGCCCTTCTTGTGCCAAATGCTCTGATCATAGCAACAGTTACAGATAAAGTAAGTACTGGAACAGGGTGAAGCTATCATACCTTGCCTGCTTTCTTTTTCCTTTTTTTTTTCTTTCCCTCTTTCTCCTAATTATTTGCAGTTGTCATGAGGGTTTCTTAAAAGGCCACAGGTGCTAGTTTATCCACACAGAGGATTGCCACATGTGCCTTTTGAGACTGAGAACTCTAAAGCATTTTGGAGGTAATTTGGACCTATGCTGCTCCCACTCTTCAGATWGTCAGTGCCTTTTTTTCTCCCTTCCCCTAACTCTCTGTTTCTTCCTTAGATGTACAGTAAACAGAGCTATACAGAACTTGCTGAGAAAATAAAGGGGGGAAATCTCTGGACACCACCTGTTTTCTATAATCCATCATTTCCTRTTCTCTAGGATTGCTGACCGGAGGCACTGAGGGAACTGAAGTAGCTGAAAGCAAGTGCAGAGAGGATTCTCTGCCCCACTAGCAGCTCTGGCAATATGATTAATTTTACTTGGGTCTCTCATCTGATCAGCAAAGCCATACAAACAAAAAATACAGTGGTTCTGACACTTGGGAGTAACTTCAGTAATCAGAAAACCTGATTAATCATAAGGRCAGCTTTAGAGCCAGGATGCTTTCATTGCACAAACAAGGAGAGGATGTACAGTGAGTTGTGTTTTGAAAGGGATAGTGAAAACATAGTGCCCAAAGTCTTAAGAAAAATGCACTAGGTTATACTCTAGATATTACAGCAGGACATGGTAAATTCTGTTTTATGCCCCTGGCAAGTAACATCTGTTAGATGGYCTATGTGAAGTTATGATTTTTCTCTGCTTGAAATAGTTACTTTATCAGCAGAGCCACATACTATTTTCATTTGGATAAAAATAAKTTTTTACAGTGTGCCTTTTCTCAAACAGTTTTGGAACTTTTGTTTTTCAGTACATGTTTGTCTCCTTGCTCTCTAGAGATAACACCTACAAACTATTAAAATCCATCTGTGGACATCTTGAGGTGAGTACTAATGGAAGTGAAGTTCATACTACAGCTCTTGTGCTTTTAMAGGTTGGGCAGTTTATAGCTATGTTCATTCTTAAACTTTTTTATTTTCCCACCTCTTCCCAGGATACCAGTGTTGGCAACAGTCCCAATCCCTCTTCTCTTGAAAACAGTTTCAGGGCTGATCGTCCTACAACTCTGCCACTGGTCAGTAACTTGTGGTTTTTTTTCATCTCTCTCTCTGTCTGCATGGCGCTATTCATTGCAAGTCCTGTTTATAATGTCCTAAACTGAAGCAGTGCACGTGCTTCTTGTTTGTAAAACTTCCATGAGCTCTGCAGCCTCAGGAAGCAGTGGGAGAGATTGGCATGGATGTATTTTGGTCATCAGATGCAATATGAGTGCACACACGTAGTGTTTCTAGCAGTCAGGTTTCATGGTGCTCTGTAGTAACTTATGGTTGCTGCTTCCCCTGCCATGGTCGCTGCTTCCCCTGCCATGGATAGCAATCCAACATTGCCCATGGACTGTTTCTGGCTGCAGTTCTTCTACAGTCCAGTTAAGGCAACTGAAAGGCATGTGTAGCCATGCAATGACAAGAGTCTTAGTTTAACAGCCTTTCTCTTTTTGATGTACCTAAGCTTTTCACCTGAACTAAGCCAAGGGGTGAGACTTGGGTTTGAATTCTGGTACTTGTAAAGTGCTTATTGTGCCAACTTTTTCTCAGTGTCAAAGGAAATCAGGATGATCTTTCCCGTGACTCTTCCCTTCTCAGGATTTCAATGAAGACTATTCGGATCTGGATGGCATAGTGCAACAGCGGAGGAAAGAGATGGAGGAGTCCAGTAGTACAGGCTCCCAAACCCCGGAGCTGGAACGCTTCCAAGGTGAGAGTGGTCATTGGTCCAGAGAAAATGGGAATGTCACAGCTGAATTTTGCTTCTGTAATCCCCTTCTGATGTGGAAATATATCTCTGTTCCCCACAGGCTGGGCAAAAAATTTTAAGGTCTGTCTTGGAGYCATATAGCTGGATTTCTATCACTGTATACCTGCCTTCTTAATCCAGAGTTAAACTCTGGATTTAACTCTGTGAGTTAAACTCACAGAACTATTGTTCTGTGAGAAACAGATCCGGTTTCTGTCACTAACGTCACTACTGCATCCAATTGCTTATTTGTGCTCTGCCTGCTCCGCACTATTTCAAGGATTTTAGCCTATCAGTTAATTCAGCTGAGATGTAATGTGAGTTGTTCCTCCTTTAAAGACAAACTATTAAAAAGTAGCTCGGGTCATACTGTAACGTCTTCTGACCCATTTAAACAACTTTATATACAGAGGCAGATTTTGATCATCAGGGAAAAAATCTGATATGGTTGCATTATTTGTTTTGCTTTATTCTTTGCAGTCATTAAGGCACTTGAGGATACTGCCTAATTGATGTTTGTAACACTAGCGTTYATTTTTACATATCTCAGATTCATCACATCATCTGCCATCATGGTACACAGAARAAAATGTAACTGGATTACATATGTAATGTATATGTAACAGTTTAAAAATATGGCAGAACTTGTTTTATATGACACATATTGGAGGTCATTAGCRGCAAGATTGTGGGGATCCCATTTAGTGTACTTGTGTGTGTGTGTTGGTATTCTATTATTACTCCAAGTTTTATCTTGACTATAATGAAACTATATAATTAGAAACTTGTCTGTAGCCATTTCTTTAGATGAAACATTATCAATTGTCTCTTAAATAGCATCTTTTAGTTGGGTGAGTTCTTAATTCTTTTTTTCTGTGTTTTTTATTTTTAGTTGTATGATTTGGGGTTATTTGCTTCAGTTTCTTGTTGGTACTTAGTCTATACATATTTTAATTGTTAGTGTTTGGAAAGCAACAACTAAATTCTGTTGACATTACTTGCTGAGTGAATACTTCTGAATAATTTTCTGACTTGCTGTCTTGCTTCCTTATGGCTAATAAGAACTTCAAACGTTTCTATTTTCCTTTCCATTTAAAAAAAAAAGAAAAAGGAAAAGAAAGAGATCCAGCTAAAAATATCTCCCTAAGAATAGAAATGAGGTGGATAAAACCTGCCACTAGTCATTCTCTTCCTTTTTCATCATTAGAACAGTCCTGCATATGCAAAGCAAAACAAGTAGACAAAACTAAATGCGACTGGGTTTTTCTGTCCCATCTCACTCAGATGTCTTTTGCATTAAAAAAAAAAAAATGAACTGGAACTACAATTTCCTTTCTATAGTGATAATCCAATATCTCCATTGGATGTCATTATAGTCATTTGAAACATTCCTGTAGCATATTCCGTCCTTTTGAGGGATGACTTTTGTTTCCTCTGACTGGCAAATATAGTGATAAACTGTAAAGTTTGCATGGATTGCCATATTTCCAAGGGCCTGGAAATGTAAATGCATCCTATGTTATCCTCTTAATATTAGAGGCCCTCTGTGTGTTTTGCAATTGTGTGGATACTAGGCAAGCCTTTGAGATTTCTGAAGACCATTAAGACTAAACTGTCTGCTGCTTTCTTTTCTGAGTCYAGAAGTGCTGCCCTTAAAATCCTTCCATTCCCCAGCTCCTTGATTGATTTAAGTTACTGGTAGTTTCCTTTGGTTTCGTATTTCAGCTGTATTAAAACGGTTGCTTTTGACAGATTATCATGTTATTGAGACACAGACCCACTTAAAAGTTTCCAAGACCGAGGGGAAGTCCATCCGTTCGGATGCACACAGTAAACGTGTACTTGAAGGAAAAGCCAGGAACACTCCTCRGAATGGTAAGGAGTCAAGGGAACATCTTCATCTGGGACTGGAAAAGTCCACGTAGCTGTGTCAATTTCTACTAGCAGTGGAATATTTTTCTCTGTGTTGCATGCTTGCAAAACACTACAGACTATTTGTCTGCCTTGCTCTGCTTTGATTAAAATGACGCTTTGTTCTTCTCCCAGCAGGTCATTCTGAAGCCTTCAGGTTCCTCCACAAAGTGAAGTCCCAGAAACTTGTATCTCTGAACCAAATACTGATATTTTATGCAGTTCTGTAAGTAAAATTTTCAAAATATTATGATTTTCATAGTTTCACATAGATTAAGATGGAGGGGGTTGTGGCCCCCCTTTTTTCAGAAGAAATGCTCAGGCAGGCTTAATAGGTCTTTTACTTGTAGAGGCAAAGGAAATTTGTTTGGGGGGATGTCAAAAAGTTTAACTGCTTGCAAGCTCATTCTCGGTGGCACTTAACAAAGCAGTATTGCTCAGCTGAGAATTTTAGAGCTGCTCAGGTGCTCAAACTGAACTGTATTTCTGRGGTGGCTTTAAGAATGGCACCTTTGCAATACATGTTCAAATGTATTTATGCAAGGTGACACAAATTAAATTGTACAAGCGTACAGTTTAAGTGGCTTTTACTGTTGAGCTTGATATCTTAAGTTTCCTCGTCCCTACAAACTCAGTTGACATAGCTTATTTTCTTTCTCTTACAGTGTCTGTGTATTAATATTTTCTACCTTCTACATGAGATATAAAATCAATGTCCTAGAGGAACGTCTTATTTCCATGACATCCTTTGAGTCRCATGTTAAGGAGTAAGAATATGCTCTGTAAAATTATCTTTGAAGAGCTGTTTTCCAGTATCTGTCATGCTCATCTGTSTTATTCTGAAGCCTGTGTGATACTTCACTACCCGGTGGTTCTTATGTCTCTGCTAGCCACATCTAGTAGCTTTCTGTTTTACACTTTTAGTACAAGTGTGATGCGTTGTGGTGTATGGCTGCTTTCAGCATGTTTCAGATAGTAGTTAACTCTGAAGTTACAGCTGAAATGAGGTCCTTTCAGGAGAAAGGTCCTGGGGGGAATGTAACTTTTGTCTGCAGTCTTCATGTTACTTGGTTAGGTTCAGGCTAATTCATCTGCTATGCTTTTATAATGTTTTCTAAATCTTTGGGCTACCTACATTCTTGTTAGAAAGTAGTGCCCTGCCTCACTTATTTAAAAAAAAAATGCATATAAATTCATATTTGAAGAGAAGTGGCAGAAAGATGACGAATAGCAAAAGGAGGTAAGGACTTCCCTGAGTATAAATGAGAATCACAGCGTGTCATTACCTCATGTTGACTCACAGCACATAAGAAATACCCAAGTTGTTTGAGAATAGCCAAGATCCTCCTGCTGCGCAGAAGGTTTGGCCAGGCAGCACCGTAGGCTGCTGATGCTTTCTAAGACATCTCCCAGCACAGCTGTGCTGGTTCCACTTTGTGGTTCACAGATGTGAAGCTACACCTACCTTTTTATTAAAAAAAAACTCTTTTCYGCCATGTTTTATGAACAGGAAATCTGCAAACAGCCACTGAAGAGGCATATAAAAATATACCACTGTAAATTGCACTAGCTTTCGACCCTTCTTCCACAACAGTTCAGCTAGTTTCTCAGACACTGCTGAGAAAAGTAACCAGTTTCTTCAGCACTGAACGGCAGTGYGACACACAGGTCACTCTGACTGTGTGTTCTCAGTCATATTCCACAACTGCTGTGCTGCTTAGGATCCAGTTGCTCTCAGCTCTGTTCTTTGGACAGCAGCAGTTTGTGTCAGAGAGCAGAACTGGGCACTTAATAACAGATTGGAAGAAATAGGAAGGAAGTGGTTCCCCATGTGAAACAGGCTTGTATTTGTATTTTACTTAGCGTGCAGGGAGGGAGTAAACATTGCATTTTATTAGGCAGTGTTAAAAGCCATTCGCTCACTTTTGGCATACTTTGATTTTCAGGATACTGTGATTCTGGAGCACTCTTTCTAACAGGAATCTGCTGCTTTTTTATYGTGCTGATCCCAAACAGTGCAAGATGGACAATGACCTAATGTGCCCTTCTGCTGTGTCAAGGGGTTGGGCTTTTTGGTTTCCTCCAAGTCATGAGACACAGGGAACTTATGCAACTTTTCAACTTACTGCGGGTGGAAATGGCTGTAAAGTTTTCCATCCAAGCTACTGGACAATGAGACCTCACAAAGACTGTAGTCAAGAGAGATGCAAGCATGTGTGTCTGTAAACAAGTAGAGATCAAAATGTTGCCRTTCAGGGTCTTGGTATCTACATATATGTCTGCTCTGTATTTTTCCTTTTTTCATTTCCTTCACTTGCTTCTTTTGTTTGACAGACAACCAGTTCGCCAAGGTTTGGGATCTCATCTGCAAGTTAATGCYGATGCCCTCTGTGATGAGTTAACTGCTAATCTTATAAAATTGGAAAAGGTAAATTTAAGATACGAGGCAAGTGCTGAAACACTAATCAGATTCTTGCAGAATTTCTATGGTTTGGTACACTGAAAACTGCTAAATTACTTCCACATCTGATACCAAGAGCAGCATGCTTTCCAAGCAGAAATGCTGGTATYGTACTTTAAGTTAACCCAATACTGATATGTGTGAAAGTTTTTCTTTAAGATGGATCCTTAAGACCATGAGTACTAGTAAACTGGACACTCAGRCTTAATTACTGCATTTCATGATCTTGATTCTGATCTACCAAGGCCAATGATTCTGAACTTAGCCTTTTTTGTTATTTCCCATATTTGGCTTCATTTGTGGTGGGTGGGTGTGTTCTCTGAAAAAAAGAAAAAAAAAAGTGTATTTTAGGCAGGCTCTCCACACAGAGAAGCTGGAAACAGCCTGTTTCTCCTCGGGGGCACACATGTTGCTGGGCCAGCTGTACCTTTACTGTCCTTCTCTGATTGCAAAATTAAATGCACCTGGTGACTGGAGTGGGATACCTATTCAGAACAGTGGTTCTGAGAGTGGAAAGCACTTTTTTCACTTTAGATGTATTAAACATACACAGAAGTCTTGGGGAGGAGAGGGTGCCACTGGCCAAGCATGAAAAAAGAATAAGTGGAGTATAAATAGAAATAATTTGAATTGCTGTGTACTTAAATCATATGGGATATTTCTGCCTCTATTTCTAAAGCTGCATGCTTGCCAAAGCCTTTCAATACCTATTTGTACCAAAGCAAGTTTCTCAACTTGCCTGAAGCTAAGGTAATATATTATAATATCACTGGCTAGTGTGGTGGAGAGTCCTCATGATACTGCCAAAAATCAAGTGGGAATCCTTCCCTTCACCGCTCACCCCTTGTCTGTGGAAATCTGGATTGACATCAGCGCAGCCCCTCTCTATGTTGTGAATAATGATTTGAATATGATGAAAAAAATGCTAACCAAATGGTTGCCAGACATTGTCTTTATCCAGATTGTGCCATTTAAGGGACTGCTGCCTTCCGGAGTCTGGCTCAGGCTCTCAGCTGGCAGCTTGGTTCATTGGAGACCTCACTTCATTTCAGTGGGAAACCAGCCAGCCTTCTGCAGCAGAGCTCTGTCATTTCTGCCCCTTATATAGTCTGCAGTGACACATGCAGGGAAAGGCAGCTGGACAGTAGTAATATTAAGCGTTTCCTGGACAAGTGGCCCTCTGTCCAGAATTAGAGGGACTTAAGCYATGTGCTTTATTTAGTCCGTGTCTCAAGAACTGAACCCCTAAGTAAGTCTTAGCTTGCCTTATAAGATACTCGGTCACTCTCCACTGCTGGTGATTTCAGCTCAATGGGCATCGCCCGTAGCTGCTTATTGCTGCATCCTGGTCCTCTCTAATCTGGATCAGTGGGGGCTAAACAGCGAGCCTGACCCTGCCCTTGTGCTGCAAAACAGGCGGAAATCGAGCAGCTTTACTGTAAACTGTGCACAATCCCTGTGCACAGGCCTTGTGTCCTAGGGGAACATGTTAGTATCTGCCTGCCACCGGCTGGGACAGCAAAGCTAACTGGGTTTGTTCAGTGTGGCTTGTCCTCTCCATGTCGCTCTGCATTATAAAGTAAAGCACTATAATGATCTAGGTTAAAGGCTGTGAATTACTCCCCAGTTAACAAATGCTCTGTACAAGATTACGTGTCAATGACTGTTTTAGTGTGACCTTGTGGTTCTTTTTATCAGCTGAACTCTATACTTAAAGTCCATGCTTTGCCATAGCTTAGCAGGACGCTTTGAGTGTTTCTGACACAGCAATGGTTTTAGGTTTTTAAAACGCACATATCAGAGCGCAGAGTTAAATTGGGAAAGAGGGAACGTGGCCTAATGAAACTTACTCCCTTACCCCACTGCTCAAATAACTTTTAAAGTCTGAAATACGCTGCAACTGAACCTTCTGTAGACATTGATTGCTGTTTACTGAGATGCAGAGAAAACGTGTCATGGGATGTAGCTGCTGTGTCCCTTCGGTGGGCTCTGAGGGACAGGGGATGGAGGTGAGTGTGTGGGAGGAAGCGACGGAGCAGGTGAGATCCGCGCAGAAGGCTCTGGGGACGCGGCCGCCTGGAGCCGCCTGCGGCCGGCGGTCAGTGCTGAGCCCGCTCAGCGCGAGCCTGCGCCTGGCCCGTGCGGCACGTCTGCTCGTGGCTGGAGAGCCCATCAGGCTGGGCACACGTCCCTGTGCTTGAAGCTGTTGTAAAACTGCGTAACTCATGCGTTTGAACCTAAAAGTTGTGGGGTTTGAAGTCTGAGGCTCGCACTGAGATATCTTCAKGTTCAAAATGCTGGTGGTGGGGCAGGGAAGGGTAGGGAGGTCAATCCGTTTTTGTTTCTAGCTCTAGAGGKTTTTTTTTTCCCTTGTACTGCTGCAGTCCCATGCCGAGGGAGCATCTGTAAGACAGGAGTGCAGGAGAACACCCTGAGCTCTGTCACCTTGATTTCACTTGCTCAGCTAGGCAGCCTCTTGGCTGATTGTATCCAGGTGTTCATTTGAGCCTAGCACAGAAAACATTTAACATGCAGACATGTTATACCTGGGTATAAATAGCTGTGAGAGACTGCATACTGAGAGAACTGAAGAATATGTCCTTTTTTAATGTGCTATGACACTCTCTGCTTCCTAATTGCTCTTTGTCTCTTTCTTTTTTTTCCTAAGATACAAAACAACTTGCAAAGACTACTTGAAGATGGTGAATGAAATGTGGATGTTCTTAGAGTGCTTCACACCTCTGTCTTCTGCTCCTGACAAACAGTTCCAAAAACACTCTGCTGGCCAGGGTTCAAGCTTCTTATTTTTGATCCAAGCCAAGTTTAAACTACTGTGCATCTCCTGTCACAATGTAGAAAGTCTGTCTATTCTTGAACAATTACATATATCTCCATATTTTGAAAATAAGGGTTTTTTTCTTTCCTAGTGATGTGTGAAATAATAGTCTTTATAGCTTGTTTGATTCTTGACTTGCTTATACCAGTGTAAACCTGGTGTAAGTGTGTTTACCTCAGCATCTGTTTCTTTTTTCCTGTACTTTCTCATACAAGTGTAAAGGGGAAGAAGGACCCATCACACGCAGCAGTGTGTTGTGTGAATGAGCTGGGTATCRTAACAGTGGCTGTGAGCCGAGGCTTTTCCCTCCTTCCTGGCCGAGCCTCCTCAAGGCCACAGAACAGACCTCTCTGCATTTGATTCCGCCTAGTGCTCAGCCTTGAGTAAGTGCTCGGGTCTCSGGGGTGGAGGGGCTCAGTTCCCCTGCCAGAGGCAGGGCCGCCTCCTGCTGCTGGGCGTTCGTTTTCCACCAGRGTCAAGCCAGGAATACGTACGGCCTCACCAACCCATGAGTCAGAGTGCTGTAGTTAGCAGTGCCAGTGAGACGTGCCGTAGAGAAGGTGCTGCAGTTTCCTGCCCACTCACAGAGTCTCTCGGTGCCCAGAGCCACGGCCAGCGCTTCCCAGCGTCGTGTGGAGTCCTGGTTGGCCAAGCAAGTGCCTTTCCTGTTCCACTCCTGGGCCTCTGGCCTTTGTCTGTGACTCCGGACACGGACACGGGGCTTTTCCACATGGTGGGAGCTCCAGGATTAGTGAGGTAGCAGTAGCAACCGTTTCAGTGCAGTCAATGACATAAAGGGGATAACTGCTTTGTTATATTCAACTTGTTTTCACAGTGCCTGAGATGGGATAACTGTGTTTTTGTTTTGCTCTCTGATTCACCAAGCAGGCTAGTTAGTGTTAAAAAAAGCAATATTTAGAATTATAGCAATTAGGATCTGTAAAGTATTGTTTATATATGCTGTGCATTTTATAACCATTTCTGTGAAATGTATCTTGTTTAAATAAACTGGGTTTTTTTGTAAAACACATGACTTGAAGTACATCTTGGGCCCATCCACCTGTTTTAGTGAAATGTGAAATTCATGATCGGAGTAAGCTCATGCCTCACAGTACAAAGTTTGACTGTTAGGAGGGAGGAACAACTTTCTGCTAATGCTTCTTTTTACCTGACTATATCCCAGATGCTCCCAGACTGAGGAGACAGAATAGTMGAAGCAAGTTTGGCTTTTGGATTACTATATATATTATATAATTATTATAATTTTAGTATATATATTATATAACTATTGTAATTTTATATGTAGTTATAATAGTTATATAATATATACTAATATTTTATAATTATATATATGAGAAAATATATAGCTTATACAACTTGCCTTTTCTTCCTTCTCCACTTCCCTTCTTTGGGTGTTTTAATAGCGGAAATATGCTTTTTAAATTATGCTTTAAAAACTGAGTACATGTGGTCCTCTGTCAGTCCAACTTCAGGGGATCCTGATTATACCACAAACTGACCTGAACCGGGCTATACTGCTTCATTACATGAGTGAGGATGGTGCTCTGCAGTAAGAAAACAGGTGGGAAGAGAATGATCTATCGAATGCTTTAGGAAGTAAGGGGTGAAGCCCTGTCATTAGCCTTATCATTAGCCATTAATGAACAGGATAKTGGCAGGAGTGACTGAGCAAACGCAGGCAGATGGGAGCGCTTTGGCCTGCCTGGCAATAGGATGGAGTGTGGACAAAAGGGGAGAGAGTCCCTCAAAGCAGGAGAAGCAAATTGCCCAGGATTACGGAGGTTACAGGTCAGGACTGCAGAGCAGGGCTGCACGGAGCCTGTGGCCGCTGCTCTCCTCGGAGCTCGCTCCACATGTCCTCTGGCTTGGTTCCTAACCCCATGCTCCTCATGGGGTGACCCGCAGGATCTGATACCATTCGCCAACAGTCTGCGCACGTGCAGGCAGTACGACACCTTGGCCACAGCCGGAGATAAGAGCTGGCCACACGAGCCCCTGCAGGGGAACAGTGTGATGTGACAAGCGTGGTTTGAGCCCAGCAGCGGTTTGCCCTAACCCTGTTTGGAAWGGCAGAAAACAGCAGTGGGGAGCAAGGAAAGGCTTGTTTTTCCCGGAGCAGAGGGAGAGGGGGAGACCTGGGGGCTTCTCTCTCTGCATTTGAGCTGATACAAAGAGAGGCCGCAGGAGACTTGCTGGTCTGCAAGAAYAAACTACTAATTGTTCCAGTTGTACAGCAATAAGAGGAAGGATGTGCAGCTTTGGGGACATCAACCTACACCAAATGTTAGTAACTAGTAGTTTGTTGTACAGAGTGTCTTAAAAACTGACTGAAAAGATCTTATCTGACTGTTATCTCTAAAAGGCCTGAAAGACAAGGGCTGCACTTTGTATCGGCTGTAGAGCATCCAGTACTGCCAGGTTCTGGCAACACACTGAAACTACAGGTTTATGGCAGCCAGCAGGAACATATCCCTAACGCTTTTTTTTTTCCCTCTGTGCAGTTGGTGATCTCATTTTTCCTTCTCAATAGGCATAGTCCAAGTACCTTCAGCTAGCGTAAATTCCTGTTCTAAGAAAACAAAACAGCTCCATCTCATAAAAAGGAAATAATATTTCAAGTAGCTGCCAAGATTCTCTGGTTRTATGAGTGGGTGTTGTAGATGAGACCTGACTTTTCCACAGTGCATGCTGAGAATACCCAACAAGCAGAGTGTCGGGGGTTCCTGTTCATGCAAGCACGTAGGAAGCCRCAGCTCCAAGGAAGGGATCGCAGAATGGGAATCCCCCTTTGAGCACAGCATCAACTGCAGTAACTTCCTGCTGGCATTTGCAGAAGAGTCTAAAAGACGTGCATACGTTTGTTGGATTGTTGTTTTTGTTGAATTTTTTTCGTGCCGTTGCTGCTTTCACCTGAATGCTCATGCAGTGGTTAGTCATGTTCTCCCCGCTATACCCGTGCTCCCCGTGTGCTCTCATTTCTAGGCCTCCAGGCGACGGTCACTTGATAAACACTAAATGAAGGACGAGGTTGGTGCCAGCCGGGCCTTCAGGCTGTTGCTGGGACAGCTCAGCACAGCTGTGAGCGAGGGGAGAGAGCATGGGAGGTTTCACATTTACAGAGCAGGTGTGGAGTGCAGTAACGACRAAGGAAAAGCTGCCTATTTATACAGAGAACTGAGCAAATACAGATTCTTTTGTGCTCAGGGCCTTAGCGCATGGTTTTATAAACAGTATAGGAATAACCTCATTTGCAAAGATTTATACCAGCACTTGCTGTCAGTTTTCTTGGTGAAAAYAGCTGAGCCTTTGACATGTCAATTTACTCAAGTGAGAAAATGGGCTAATCTCATTTTGCACTTTTAGCTATATTGTTTGAACTCCATGAAACTTTTTAGCTAAAATTGTTCAGGTAATGAGATCTTACGAAGATTTGCTGCAGTCTTGGGTTACAAAATCAATGTAGTCTGATTTAATAGCGGAGCTTCACGAAAACTTAYTGCTTAGCTAATATCCTAAACAAAATACAGGGCAGCAAGTTTCATGTGTCCCTTAAATTATTGTCTGTTTATCTTATCAGTATCATTCTTGGATATTAACAGTCAAATCATTACAAATAAATAATATACAGTATGTACACTAATCAAGAAGATCAAATCTAAGGTTATATGAAAGGGATAGCACTAATTGGAGTTTATTCCCTGAGCTTCTACAAGATGATATGATACCTAAAACTATTCCTATTCACAATGTGGGAAGACTTAACTGTTTTTAAGACTTTCTGCTTCCTCCTCCTGATGACTCTTAACTGACCTTCAAATTTCTGTTTAGCTAAATTGGCTGGTGATATTGTGCCTACTCAACTTCAAATACATCTCAAACATGTGCCCTCGTCCTCCAAAACCAGTCCTCCCTTTCAGAGGGACCTGGACAGGCTGGAGAGTTGGGCAGAGAGGAACCCTCATGAGGTTCAACAAGGACAAGTGCAGGGTCCTGCCCCTGGTCAGGAATAACCCCAGGCGCCAGGACAGATTAGGGGCTGACCTGCTGGAGAGCAGCTCCACGGAGAGGGACCTGGGAGTCCTGGTGGACACCAAGTTAGCCATGAGGCAGCAGTGCCCTCGTGGCCARGAAGGCCAATGGGATCCTGGCTGCATCAGGAGGATGTTGGCAGCAGGGGGAGGGAGGTGATCCTGCCCCTCTGCTCAGCTCTGGGGAGGCCACACCTGGAGTATTGGGGGCAGTTCTGGGCTCCCCAGGACAAGAGGGACGTGGAGCTTCTGGAGAGGGTCCAGCAGAGAGCAACAAAGATGATGAAGGGAGTGGAACATCTCTCATATGAGGAGAGACTAAGCAAGCTGGGCCTGTTTCATCTGGAGAAGAGAAGATAGAATCTGATCAATATGTGTAAATACCTGAGGGGGGAACATAGGGAGAAAGGGACCAAACTTTTCTTGGTGGTGGCCAGTGACAGGACAAGGGGTAATGGGTACAAATTGAAACACTGGAAGTTCCACTTCTATGTGAGAAGAACTTCTTTACTGTGAGGAACTGAGCTAGATGATCTCTAGAGGTGCCTTCCAACCTCAACCATTCTGTGATTCTCTGTCTTACGGCAACATGGTTGGGAGCCCTTGTCTACACCTGTCATGGTAGGACCTCAAAGGGGATGGTCCCAAGAAGGAACTGATTAGGTAACTGCCTTTAGAAAATCCCAGCACAATTGGTATAATAGTCAGAAGCTTTTCAGTAGTTATCTTCTGTGTGTCTGTCATCATCTCCATTAACATTTCCATGCAGCATTGTAGCAAGGAGAATTTGAGCAGGAGTTCARGATAGTTTTATGTTAGTGAAGCATTTCCTTAGCTTGTGGTTGTAATATTCACAAAGAATAGAAATGTATTCCAGTTATCCCCTATTGGCTATACTGTTGATTTGTACTGAACACTTTCCTCACTCTTCCCCATTCAAGGTGATTGGAACATACGATTTATGCCAAAAACTTCCCTCAAACCAAACACTTCCCAGCCCCTTTCAATACTATAATCCTTGATGGGAAGGAGCAAACACCCCAAGTTGGATATCTGTTTATCACATAGGCATCTGTGCTGAAAAATTCAGAAAGATGGTAAGTCCTTGAGAAGAGCATCCCCCAAATTAGTGTCCTCCACTAAGAAAGTCTAAGTTTCCAACTGAATGGACTTACTAGTTGCCGGCCTCCGTAAATTCAGTTTAGTCAGCTTTTTTCCCCTCAGTATCCCATGTGGAGCCTTTGCCAATACACGATTGCATATGTGACTTGCTTGCTTTGACAGCTTGTGTACTGAGTTGATTGGGATGCTGCTTAAAAGCTCATTATATCATTAACATTGAAAGATCACCTTAGCCTTTTCCAGGGTTTATATAACAAACAGCAAGTTCAAGTCATAATGCATGGTGATGCAGGAAGTGCATCCTGTTTTGAAAGTATAATATTCCATATTAAACTTCCTAATAAAGATTTATTAGCGTCTGACAATGCAGGTAACCTGGAGGTTGGGCTATATGATAAAGGTCTCTTCAACTGCTGTTCTTACTTAATGGTATTGATAAGGTAATTTTCCACTGAGTAGGCATTTTAACAGTGCTTAGTGGGAGATTAAAGGAAAATCATTCCAAAGTGCTGCCAAGTACAAAATTAAAAAACATCTCCTCACACAAACTACAGATAGATAGATGGGGACTCCTTCCATGGAAAAAAGAATAATGAGTAACTTAATAACTTGATTATAACTTTATGTGCCAGAGCTGGCATGCAGGGCAAAATGCAGCTGTGAATCTTTCCAGCTCTTGTGGCTTGCTGCCATGCCAATGTGCACACGTGGCTGAATT